TGTTTGTTCACCTCGTTTCCCAGCATTTCTGGTGTTGGATGTTCCGTCCTGTCTACTCTTAGCACCACAAAGCACAGTTACGGGGGCACGAGCTGCCATTTGAGGGAAGGACAGGAAATGTACCCCAAACCATCTGAAGGCCTCGGGGCTGTATTCCTTCAGAATTACTCTTTGACAGCTGAAGGACAGCCAACCTATGCCCCAAGATCTTGGCAGAACTGATGCCCAAAGCCTGGGTGGGGATGAGGATTGATGCTATCAATGTCCAGCCAGCATCACTGCTTCTGGACTTCTCAGGGGACAGATTTTCACGGATTGGAATTTACCTTCACTGTAGATGAGAGTGCAGGGAATAAATTATTGGAGATTTTGGGAAGGTATCTTGGAAAAATGCTGATAGTTCTCCATGCCCTCCAAAGACAAGGCTTCCTTGTTTCTACATTGGGTTTTTAATTGCCCGACCGACTTGTCCCTCTGAGATCCCATTCAGAAGCTTCAATGCCTCTCTGAGAATCTATCAGACAACCTTGCACCAGACTGTTGGTTTTCTGGGCTGGAGCAAGGGTGTTTTCGTGACAGGGAGAGGAGAACAGGACCTTCTCCAACTCAAACCCAAAAGTTTACATTGGCTGTCAGTCAATCCCTGCCAGGAAGGCCAGATGCCTCCTCTTCTTGCCCTAGTACAGCTTGGTGTTCGTTTGCACGCAACCCAGTAGCTGTCACGCAACGATATGGGAACAAGAACAACCACTCAGTGCAGCACTGCTCTTGAACCCGTTTCCATGGGTTGCATCTACTCAACCATTACACCAGACCCTAACCAACGAGACTTCTCTTTGGATCCGAATATGGGTGGCTGGAAACTTCCAAGAAGAGAGAAAAACAAAAGAGCCCTTGTGGGGAAGGAAATGGGGAAGCCGACTGCCCAAGACCTCACGGAGATTCCAGCAAGAACTGGGAGGTGTTCAGACCCGTTAAACCGGCAGGAATGGAAGGAACAACTTCCATTCATCTGTCCAGATGCTGCCAATGGGTGTAGGGGATGATGAGGCAGGAAGAAGGAGTTTGGAGCCCAGGTTGATCTCTGCTCTCAGCATGGAGACAAATGGAGAACTAATTCTGCCTAGCTTCAATAAAGATGCTGATGCAGCTATTTCCAGCATGCTGCTGAGTCAAAAGTTCCTTCAAGCTGAGGTCACCAGCCTTGGAGGAAATGTGGACGGACGGCTTAGGACCACGCACGAGGTCCATTAGGCAGATAGCATCTCAACAAAACAACAAAATAAAATAGGTAAAGGCAATCTATTCACGACCCGCCTGTCCATGGAGGGCATCCCAAGGACAGCCCAGGGAAGGTGGAATCATCACAGACATGGGATGAGCTTCTCAGCACTTAACTTGGGGGAAGACCTCCAGGACCATCCCGTCATGGTGTCACCACCACCCCATGGTGTGGGAGGCTCTCATGGGCTCAGCCAGCAACTCTGGTGCTGGTGCAGGACCAGAGTCCCGCCAGCTGGAGCCGTTGCGTGACTCTGTCCCCCTGAGTCCTGGTGCTGGTTGCTGATAAGGCCCGCAATAAGCAGGTGCTGATATAAAGGAAGAACGCTGGGATGATTTTTACCCTTTAGAGATGGATATTTTATAGCCCTGGGGCCGATAAGTGGATTAATATTAACGTCAGCGAGGTGAAACAGCTCCTTGGTGATTGTTCCTCCAGTGTTTATCAAGGGCTGATTGCTGCCCCTGGGATGACTGCAGCCTGAGGGTGCAGTGGGCAGAACCAGGGTGAAGTCACTGCAGAGCCAGGATGGGGAAGGGAGAGAGAAGGCAGGAAGGGAGTGGAAGGAGAGCAAGCAGGGAGCAGCAAGGAGACCTTTTGGGAGGCTCTGGAAGGGAGCAGGGCTGCCATACAAGGTTGGACTTGCCTCCTTGGACATTCTTGGTGTGTCCTGGCAGCTCTCATCAAAGTGTTCCCATGCTGCACTCACAGCTCTGCCCTTCCTCCTCTTCCCCACCACCTCCCAATAAGCAAATCTATCGATCATTGCCACACCAGCACCAATTGCTCACACAACTCCTCTATCTTTGTCTTTCCACAGATCATTTCCCTCGATTAAAGCCTCCATTTATTCCCCAGGTAACTTGAGATTGCCATGATTTCTTTATGGGGACCTTTATGGGGACCGGAGCTGTGATAAGCCAGGGGAGCTTTGATTGCACCACAGCTAATTGCTTTTATTGGCGCTTTTAAAGTGAGTCAGCACTGAGCCATGGCCTCTTGGCTCCTGGTCCTCCTGCCAAGCTGGTGAGGCTCACCGGTCCCTTGAGCCCACAGAAAAACATCCAGCAGGGATGGAAACCTTAAATGCAGGCAGCACCAAGCTCCTCCACCTGGACGCCAGCCTTTGGAGTTCCCAATTCCCCAGAGGAGCTGCTCCAGTACTTAATGACCCTCCTTGTTAAAAGAGAGTCCTGTACATTTCTAACACAGCTCCATCTCTCTTCTTTCCCTCAGCACTCTTGGGTGCCTGTAATCGATGGCCAAGCCTGCTCAGTTTTGCCAAGGGAGAAATAAATTGTCTCCTAAGCTAAGCAGGCATCACAGAATCGTAGATCACAGAATCACAGAATGGCCTGGGTTGGAAGGGACCTCGAGGATCATGAATGTCCAACCCCCTGCCACATGCAGAGCCACCAACCTCCACATTTGATACCAGACCACTGCTGTGACTGCCAGTCCCCAAAAGAGGGGACAGCCCCTCCATGTTAATAATACTCTTGATGCTTGATGTCTTCAGGCTCACTTTGAGCCCCACATTTCTGAGCCACGTGTGCAGTGTGATGGTACCCAAGCACTGTGAGCTTTGCTCCTGCATCCCTTATTGAGGGGTTAGTGGGCAGGGTGGTGATGGGCTGGTGGTTATAAGAGATGATCCCAGTGGTCATTCTAACCTTAATGATTCTATGACAAGACGATCTCTGAAGATCACATCTCCTTGCCTCTCCATATTCAGGACCAAGCCAGGCTTTCCTCTTCCTTCAGCCACGGGAGCAGCTGTGTTGCAGTGGGAAGAGTGGCTGATTTCTGCCTTTTGGGGGAAGAAAAACTGCTCCCCACCATGGAGCAGGGCTCTCTGCTTTTATCTTCCAGGGCACTGGAGCTGGTGGGACTTTCTCTGGACCCCAAGCCCGAAGGTACAATGGGGTGCACAAGAAAGCAGGTGAGGGTGGAGTTTGTCCCTGGGTTGAGGCAGAGCAAAGCAGTCACGGTGATAACCACATCCTGCACACCGAGGGCTGCTTGGGACAAGTGGGGGTTGGGGGCACCGACCTCAATCCCAGATCTCCTTTAGCTCCCTGCACCCCTCACCAGCATCTGGCACACTGGGAGACCCCACAGCAACCCAATCCCTTCTGCTTTAATTAAAACCCTCCTGGAAACGAGGAAGTCTAGGAAAATGAGGCAGAACCAACGAGGTGTTTTAGGAGGCACGCGAGGGTCAGGGTTGAATGCCCTCAGGGAGCAGCACCAGGCAGAGCAGTGCGGGTCCCGAAGCAGCGATGCTCTCCGGAGCCTTTTTGTCCCCTCTGCGTCGCCTTTGGGACGCGATCGCCCTCGTGTGGCATCTGCCACATCTCTGCTCTGCAAGAACGGAACCTTTCCCTGAAAGACTGAGCTCCTGCTCCGAGCGTTTGGGAGATGCTCATGTGGGGGACGGTGATCAGTAGGATGCTCATTCGAGGAAGGGGATGCTCACTTGGGGGATGCTCATTTGGGGAGGGAGCTTTGTATCCCCACTGCCCTGGAGCTTGCAGTGCTGCAGGACCGCGTCCACCTGCCTTCGTGTTCAGCTCAGCATGCAGGTGCGCTGCTTCGCTCGCAGCATTTCTGCCCTGGGGAGGCTGCATGGGTTGGTGCCCGCATCCGCGCTTTGCTGCAAGCAGAGCTGCTCTCATTTCCTCCCAGCATCGCTCTGAGTGAGACAGAGCGTGGAGTAGGGATGAACACGAGCAGGGCCAGCCTGCAACCCAGCATCCTTCGGGGCACTGAGCTCCATGCGGGGAGCTCCATAGCAATCCTCCCGATGCATTCAGCACCATCTGGGCTGCTGGAGCTGTTGGCACCGAGCTCCCATCGATGTCACCCGCATGGTCCCCTGCGCTGGTGGGGGGGGGGGATGCAGGCACCGCGCCGGGCTTCCTGCTTCGCCCTACATGGGCTGCACGCAGCGCAGGGCAGGAAGTGACAGCGGCTCTGCCCGCGAGCAGGCAGTGCTTGAGAGCTCGGGGCATGGCGGCACGGTGCTGGGGGCCATGGGAGCAGGGTGCCCACCTCCCTGCGTGCAGAACCCCCACAGCTGAGTGGGCTCCTGCAGTCATAGAATTGAACTGGAAGAGAATCATTCCCCCCCTTCCCCCCCCCCCCGGCCAATACACACAGAGAGACACCCGTAGCACATCAGGCGCTCAAAGCCACCCAGCCTGACCGTGGTGTCTACAGGTACGGGGCACCACCGCCTCTCTGGGCATCCCGTGCCAAGCTCTTCGGTGTACAAAACTCCTCGCACCCAACCCAAATCTCCCCTCCCGCACACCGAACCCATCTCCCCATCCCGCAACTCCCCGCACCCCGAAAGCCGCCTCTCTCCCTTCTGCCCACCAGGGGGCGCCGCGGAGCCGCACGGCGCAGGCGCGCTGTTCGGGGCGCTCCGATTCCGGCCGCCGCTTCCTTCCAGCAGGCCCCGGCCGCGCCGGCCCGCGCTCCCCGCTCCCCGCTCCCTCCTCCCCCTTCCCCCGCACCGCCCGGTCCCGCTCTCTCCCCGCATCCCGGGCCGCGGCCGCTCCGTTCCCTTTTCCCCCCGTCCCGACGCGGCTCCTCCGGCTGCGAGCGGCCGCGGCCGCCTCTTCCTCGGGGCTGGGAGCCGCCGGGCTGCCGCTCGCCTTCCTCCGCCCCTTCCGTCCCCCCCTCCGCCTTCCCTCCCCCCCCCCCCCCCCATCTCGAGCACGGAGGCCCCCGGCGGCGCCGCATGGAGTACCCGGCGGCGGGCTGAGCCCTGCCTGCCCGCGGCCCCTCGGGGAGGTGAGTACCGGGAAACGGGGGGGGGGGGGGGGGAAAGCTGCGGGACACCGCTGTCAGCCGGCCCGAAAAAGCTGCGGGGGGACGGAGGGGTCGGGCAGCGCTTCCTCGAGGGGGTGGAAGAGCGCTGAGCTCGGCTGGACGGGTCTGCGCCGGTAGCGGTAACGGAGGGGATGCTTTGTTCCCTTTGGGGCTGTGGTCCTTGGACCCGTAGTGGAGAGAGCGTCCCAAAGGGCCTCCGGTGGAGATTTGCCCACTGGAGGTGGAGATCTGTCCGTTGGGGATAGAGATCTTTCCGTTGGGGATGGAGATCTGCCCACTGGGGATTGAGATCTGGCCATTGGAGATGGAGATCTGTCCATTGGGGATGGAGATCTGCCCCCTGGGGATTGAGATCTGGCCATTGGAGATGGAGATCTGTCCATTGGGGATGGAGATCTGTCCATTGGGGATGGAGATATACCCACTGGAGATTGAGATCTGTCCGCTGGGGAGGCAGGGGTTGGAGATGCATCCACTGGAAACGGAGATGTGCCCATTGGGAACAGGAGGTGTGTCCACTGGGGATGGGAGATCTGTCCGTTGGGGATGGGAGGTGTGTCTGTTTGGGGAGAGGAGGTGCATCCATTGGGGACAGGAGGTCCATCCACTGGGGATGGAGATCTGTCCACTGGGGACAGTAGGTGCATCCACTGGGAATGGGAGATGCATCCACTAGGGACAGAAGTCTGTTGGGGATGGAGTTTGAAGATGGGGCCCCCAGCAGAGGTCAACGGCAGTGATGCATCACAAGCAGGATGTCAACCCATGGTTCTCCTCCCACATTCATCCATTCCTTTCGGGGCGCACAGAGCCCACGTGCTGCTCCCCAGGAAGGCACTGACACCCTTCAGGGCACGGGAAGCAGACCCAAAGGATGTGGCCTTGGGACATGGTGTGGTGGCCGTGGGTTGGCGGTCACAGTTGGTCGTCGTGGAGGTCCATTCCAACCCTAGCAGTTCAGTGATTCTGGAGGTGTCGTCGGGCACTGCGGCCAATCGGTGGACAACCACATCCAGCGAAACCACCCAGGTTTTGGAGAAAAGGCCCAGGAAGACTCTGCCACAGCGAGGAGGTTGGAAGCAGCGTCTCAGGGCCTCCACCTGCCCCTGAGTATCCCCCAGGCGCTGTCTGTGGTTTGACAGCATCATCTCTCTTTTAAAAACGCCATCAAAAAGGAACACCACCCCCCCTTTCCTCTCTGGGGGCCGTTGGCTGGTGCCCGACACGCGCAGTTGGAGGCGCTGAGCTGGAGAGGAGCGGCAGAACCATCTCAGAGCACTGATGAGATAAAGGAGGAACGTTTTTCTTTCGATTATGGTAATCGTAGGTGTTGCTTGTAATGACAGCTGATAAGATCTTTTGGAGAGCAGCGGGGATGTTGTCTGTTTGGGGGTTGTTTCGTGTCTTTTGTTTCTGAAGTTTGGATAGGAGCTCGAGCGGAGCGCGAGGACGGCGTTGTGCTGGAGCACACTGGAGCCCTTCCTGCAGGTTCTGAACGTCCCCTGGTCCCTTTTTCTCTCCAGCAGAGCAGCGTGGGGATGGAGCAGCTCTGCTGGGAGCTGTGGGAATGGCTGCTGTGCTGGGATGCGCTGCGCATCCCTCTGCTGCCGGCAGAGCCCTGATGCTCGGCGCTGATCCATCAGCCCAAGGATGAGGTCAGTTCCCCGGGGACATCCAGCAGGCACGGAGCCTTCTTCATCTGCTTCTGAGGAGAGGAGGAAGTCGGTGTCGGACAAAAGAAGAGGTCCTCTCACCTTGTTCCACTTCCCAATGGGTTACCGGGGTGCTGCCAGTGCCTGCTTCCCACTTTAGGGCCGTGCTCCGGTCTGTTGTTCCCCAATGGGGTGAGCTGTGCCAGGAACGTGCAGGTGGAGCCCAATCCCAGCCCCGAGCTCCTTCCTGCCACCCTCGCCCTCCAAGCACACAGGAGCTGCTGGGAGCCACTGACCACGCACTGCGGGGACCTTCCTGAGAGCAGCAGGGTGGTGAGAAAGGCAGAAATGGGAAATCCCTCCTGCGGATGTGAGCGGCGTGGGACTCCATGCAAAGTGCCACGCAGCCGTGCTCGTCCCCATGGCAGTTCAAAGGGGCTGAGGGTCTGCATTCAGCCCATACTTGTGAGCTTGCACTCTGCAGAAGGGCACCAAAACTGCACCTGACGGCGGTGGTACACCCCATTCCAGCAAATAACACCCTAAATTGTGGTGTGGAGGGACAGAAGAGTGCTTTCCTTCAAGCAGACTTCATTAAGATGGCTGTGAGGACCCGGCCGATGGGTTGTTTTGGAGGGCTGTGTTTTGCTTTGGACCATTTCCTGCAACGGCTCACTTTGAGGCTTCAGCAAAGATCCACTTGAAGACAGAGATTGAGCTCTAAGATGAACGCTACACGCAGGCAGGGATGCTGCATTCCCACGGGTGCTCTCTCACAGTACACAGGGATGCCAATGGAGAGCATCCCCAGCGCTGGGACGAACGGGACGGGGCGGAACCGGGTTTGGTGCTGCGAGCAGCAGGATGAGGAACAGTCCCATGTGGGGCTTTTCGGGGGGGGGTGCCAAGGAAGTGACGCAGCCCCACAGCTCGGTCTCAGGAGGATTCTCTGTGGGGACGTCCCCAGCACCGCTCATGTGGCCGGGAGGAAAAACCTCAACCGTGCACAGGGCCGGGTGCTGTGCTGATGGGCGCGCTCCCTTCCCACGGTGGGAACAGCTCTGAGCATCTCTCCAGACCCTAAACAAAATGGGAGCGAGGTGTTGGCAGCTCTCAGCGCCCAGATCTCTTCCTCTCCGCCGCTCTGCCCTCTTATCTTCTTCCTCCTCCCAGCCTTGCCCCTTTGCTTTCGGTTCCTCCTGCCCAAAATACTTCTGGCTGCTGACGGCTGTCCGTCGGGCCTGCAGTAACTCCAAAGCGCCCGCGTCGTTCTGGCATCACCCCCAGTGGGGGCTCGGTTCTGGCATCACCCCTAGTGGGGGCTCGGGGACGCTCGTGGCCGCTGCGACCGTGGGGAGAGGCCCCATGGTTCGACCCAAGAAAGCCTCATTTGATGGCGGGGCTGCTGACTTCAGCCAGCAGCCGGCGCGGATAAAGGCGGGTTTGTTCCCCTCCTACGCGCAGAGCAGGATGCGACCCGCGGGGACAGGGCTGCACCCACGCCCGGAGCGCCTCGTCCCGAGGGAAATGGGCTATTTTTCTTCTTGTTCCCTTTGCAAAAGCTTGCTGCAGAGGCGCCGTTCCCAGCAGCTGGCGTGGGGATGTTTTCTTGTTTCTCGCGGAGCTTTTTTCTCTTCCCGCTTCTGCTCCATCCCGGCCTCTCCTGCTGGGTGTGACGTCTGGGGATGGCTTTTGGTGCTTCCTTAGCAAATGAAACCGGCCAAAAACCCCGCTGCAAACGGCGTTCCCAGCCCAGCCCTGCACGCACGCACGGAGATGCGGTGCCTCTCGCAGCGGTGCTGCCGTTCTCAGCTGTCCTTTTACCCCCTGCCCAGGTCTCATGGTACCAAGTGACGCGTCCCTCCCGTGAGATTTGCTCCCCCGAAGCCCCTGAGAAGATGTCAGGGATGCAGGTGAGGTGCCGTGAGCCCTGCGCTCCCCTGCTGCTCGGTATCGGGGTGGGTGGGAGATGCTCTGAGCCACCTCTCACATCCTCCCCCCCTCTCCTTTTGCCCCCCCAGGCCGTTTGGCCATCCGGTACAGAATGTATCGCCAAGTACAACTTCCACGGTACCGCCGAGCAGGACCTGCCGTTCAGCAAGGGAGACGTCCTCACCATCGTTGCTGTCACCAAGGTAATGGCCATCGGGTCCCGGGGCGGTGGGTCCCACCCTCCCAACCCCTGTGGGGTTCCCCGAGCCTCCCCCTTGTTTTCTCCTGCATCCCACGGGCAGGGAGCGTCGCTCTGCTGTCCCCACAGGCCGGCAATCGGGCCAGGCGTTGGGTTAATTAATTCACGGCCTCGTTAGTTAAAGTTCCTCTGAAATGGAAGCGTCCCAGGCGGCGCAGTGGAGGGGGATGGAGAGAGGCTTGCAGTCTGGCTCCCGACGAGACATCTGTGGGCTCGCTGTGACACCTCTGCTGTCCCCACAGGACCCCAACTGGTACAAGGCGAAGAACAAGGTGGGCCGGGAGGGCATCATCCCCGCTAACTACGTGCAGAAACGGGAAGGAGTGAAGGCTGGCATCAAGCTCAGCCTCATGCCGTGAGTCCCCATCACCCCCAAACGTGGCCCCCCGGCCCCGTGGGATCCGTCCCAGCGCACTGACTGCCTCTCCCATCCTGCTGCAGGTGGTTCCATGGGAAGATCACACGGGAGCAGGCAGAGCGGCTGCTGTACCCACCTGAAACGGGGCTGTTCCTGGTGCGGGAGAGCACCAACTACCCTGGGGACTACACCCTGTGTGTGAGCTGTGAGGGCAAGGTGGAGCACTACCGCATCATTTACTCCTCCAGCAAGCTGAGCATCGACGAGGAGGTCTACTTTGAGAACCTGATGCAGCTTGTGGAGGTGGGGTCCCGGGGAGCAGGAACCCTCCTTGTCCCTGGAGGTGCCCAAGGCTGTGGATGGGGCCCTGGCAGGGCAGCGTGAGCTAGTGGGGGGCAGCCAGCCCACAGCAGGGGGCTTTAAGGTCCTATCCAACCCAACCATTCTGTGGTTGCACGTGTGGTTGATGCGGGACTCGCTGCATGCCCTGACCCGTGGCGAGGAGGGGCCATAAGTTTGAGGATTGCTTGGGTTGGAGTTGGGTTGCTCTGGACCGTGGGAGGTGATGGAATCTTCTTTGCATCCCTGTGGGCTGGGTCAGAAGCTGCTGGGCCCAGAGCCCTGGGACAAAAGGGGTGAGATGGAAACAAGGATAGGATGGGCAAAGGCACCGAAGCCCTGAGCCCGTACTGGTCTCATCTGTGGCGTCGTGCTGCCACCTGGTGGGGTCTCAGGGCCTGGCATCGCCCTGGCAGGGACCCCCACCGAGTCCCCACGCTGTCATCCGTGGCTGTGGGTGACCTCCCGGCCTCTCACCCCCGTCTCCCCTCCAGCATTACACCACAGATGCTGACGGGCTCTGCACGCGCCTCATCAAGCCCAAGGTGATGGAGGGGACAGTGGCAGCTCAGGACGAGTTCTCCCGCAGTGAGTGGCCGTGCCCTCTCCCCAGCTCTTGTCCCCATCCCTGGCACTCCCTCACCCTCATCCTTCTCACTCAGGTGGCTGGGCCCTCAACATGAAGGACCTCAAGCTGCTGCAGATCATTGGCAAAGGGGAATTTGGAGGTGAGCAGCGCTTTGGCCTCACTTACCCGATGCCATAGGGTCTCCTGTGCTGGGGAAAAGCACGTCCCTGTGCGTCCCAATAAGGAGTTGATGCTGGGAGGGATGTTGGGAGGCCGTGGCTCATTCCTGTGCCCATCCATCCTTCCTACAGACGTGATGCTGGGTGATTACCGGGGGAACAAAGTCGCCGTCAAGTGCATTAAAAACGACGCCACAGCGCAGGCTTTCCTGGCAGAAGCGTCTGTGATGACGTGAGTATGGCCAGGGGGGGGACAACACACACAAGAGATGGCGGTGGGAAGGGGTGTGTGGATGGAGGTGGTCTCCGTGCCCTCCTGCTCCCTGCCCTGAGCCTTCCTCTGCTGTGCAGGCAGCTCCGACACAGCAACCTGGTGCAGCTGCTGGGGGTGATCGTGGAGGAGAAGAGCGGCCTCTACATTGTCACTGAGTATATGGCCAAGGTGAGAGCTGACCACAGGGTCCTCCCACACAACCACAACCCTCTTTCTCCATCTCCTTCTCCCCATCTCTCTGCCCCCCAACCTCTTGTTCCCCTGGGCCATGACCCCAGTTGGATGCTACCATCTCCCCATCCCACACCCTGGGCCGTGTGGGGCTGGCAGTGGGACACTGCTCCCAGCAAGATGCTGGCACTGATGGCACCATCTCTCTCTGTCCCTCCAGGGCAGCCTAGTAGATTACCTGCGGTCGCGTGGGAGGTCGGTCCTAGGTGCAGACTGCCTGCTCAAGTTTTCCTTGTAAGTATGGTGGGGCCGGGGGATCTGAGCATCCTGATGGATATCCCTCTTCCTGGGATTATATTCCCTGCAGGGGAGTGGGACCTTTAAAAATCCCTTCCAACTTAAACGATTCCACGAGTCTGTGATGCAGGGATGGTCCTGCTTGCTTTGCCTGTCTCACCCCATGCCCTGGGGCTTGAGAAACGGGAAGAGGAGAGGAGGGATGGGGGAGATGCTGTCCCCAGAGATGGTTGAGGTTGGAAGGGATGTGTCGTCCAAGCCTCCTGCTTCAAGCAGGGCCGCCGAGAGCTCACTGCCCTGATGTCCCCAACCACAGGGCTGACGTGCACCCGTGGCTTTTTGTAGCCACAGTTCTGGTAACCAAATTCCTAAAGCCTCTCTGTCGCCCGCCAGAGATGTCTGTGAAGCCATGGAGTACCTGGAAGCCAACAACTTCGTCCATCGGGACCTGGCGGCGAGGAACGTGTTGGTCTCAGAGGACAACATTGCCAAGGTCAGCGATTTTGGGCTGACAAAGGAAGCGTCGTCCACTCAGGACACGGGGAAGCTGCCTGTGAAGTGGACAGCACCCGAAGCACTTAGAGAAAAGGTGGGAGGAGAGCCGTCAGAGCGGGGAAAGATCTCGAGATGTCCCGCTTTGTGCTCAGAGCCCCACTCAAAACGGCCCTTTCTCCCTGCACGCAGAAATTCTCCACCAAATCGGACGTGTGGAGCTTCGGGATCCTCCTGTGGGAAATCTATTCCTTCGGGCGAGTGCCTTATCCGAGAATCGTAAGTGAGAGCTCATGAAGGGGCAAGGGGGAGGGCTGGGGGCAGCCCTTGGGTATTTGGGGGGGGTTGGGAGCAGCCCCCTGAGCCCTGTCCCCTCAGCCCCTGAAGGACGTGGTGCCCCGGGTGGAGAAGGGCTACAAGATGGACGCACCCGACGGCTGCCCAGCCATCGTCTATGAAGTGATGAAGAAGTGCTGGACGCTGGACCCAGGGCACCGGCCGTCCTTCCACCAGCTCCGTGAACAGCTAGTGCATATCAAAGAGAAGGAGCTCTACCTGTGAGAGGGCTCTGGGGGGCACCTCCAACCCCAGGGCAGGAGCAGGGGGGCTCTCCCAGCCCACACAGCACAGAGGGCCACCCATGGGAGCGACCGGACGGAGCCCAACCACCGGGCAGCCCCTCCTGGTCGCTTCCAACCTTCCAAATCGGTCTTCGTTGGGTTTTGTTTTGTTTGTTTTGTTTTGTCCCAGGCTTTTTTTTTTTTTTATTATTTTTTTTCCCCCCCCCCTTGAATTTGGGGTGTTTTTCGTTTGGGTTCCTTTTTTTTTTTGTTTTCTTTTTTTGAGGGGGGGAGGGGAGCCGTTGCTTTATTATTATTTTGTTGTTGTTGTCATTATGTTGTGGTTTTTTGTTTTTTTTTTTTATTATTATTATTATTTCAAGCAGGGGCCCAGCCGAGCGCTGGCCGTTTTACTAAAGTACGAATCTTATTTTTTAATGTAATTAAAAGACAGAAAATTAAAAAAAAAAAAAGAAGAAGAAGAAAAAGAAGAAGAAGAAAGAAGGTTAATAAAAGAAGAATAATAATAAATAAGCCAATGAAATGGACACACAAAAAGGAAACCCCAACGACAGAAGTGATGGTTCCAGAGGAGACGCTGCATTGCTGGGAGCACAGCAGCGTCCCCCGAGGGCGCTTTTTTTGGGTTGTTTTGCTTTAAACTTGTTGCAATGTTTGCATGCTGTCTCCAGAGGCCTTTTTTTCCAGTCCTGTCCAGTGCTTTATTCTCATGTAATGCTACCGACTGTGAGATTAAAACTGTAATAAAACCATTCCATACGGACGCGGCACATCCCGCCTGCCAGAGCCCTCTGTCACTCATCCCCTGCACCCACCCCATAGGGGATAAGGACCCCCTGGCACAGTTCCCCTTCTTCTGGGCATGGTGGGGTGGTTCTGGCCTGAGAACTGACGAGCTCATCACAATGATGCCCTCATTGCTGGGTGTAGCAATGGAATCCAGGTGCGTGGAAGGGGTGGCACAGCGCTGTGATGGGGTCTGATGCTGTAGGGTTTCATTTCTCCCGGACTAACCCTGTCTGTTTCTCTCCTCCCCCCCCCCCCCCCGGGGTCTTCACGGCGCCTATAAGCAGCTTTACTTCTCGGGCTTATGAAGATTAAAGTCATTTTCAGGCAAAGCCAGCAAGAACGTGGCTTTTGAAATGGAGAGAAAGGCTGAGCAGCCTCATGCGGTGGGCTGAAACCAGAGGTAGGGGGATATGAGTGCTATCCCTGTCCTCTTGGGCCACCAATCGGCCCCAGCACCAGGACGACCCCCACCTGCAAGCACTGTCCTCCCTCTCTCTGCTCTTTGCCTCCACCTGCTGCTCAAGGCTCTTTGGTTCCCTTCACAACAGCGGTCCGCACAAAGGGGCTGGGTGGGATCCTTCAGCTTGGGTGCAGGGGTTTGGATTGGAGATCTCAGTGGGAAGCAGGGCTGCGAGCTGCTGATCTCTGCCCCGTTGCACTGCTGGCGGCGATCCCAGCTTGGCTCAGCATCCCCCCATCTGGCTGGGGTGCCTGCTGCAGGCAGCAGGGCAGGGTGAGCCCCTGGGACCCGCGCTGACGTTTGCAGAGGCTGCAGGAGGCACGGGACGCCTCTGGCCTCCCCCACCCTTTGCTTTTCCTTCCCTGAGGTTGGCCTTGCAGGGTCACCAACCCGCAGCCAAGGTCACCTTGGTCACACCATCCCTCCCAGCTGCTGATGCTCTCTCCCTTGGAGCTCTCCAGGAAAGGAGAACCCTGGTCAGACCCCCTCTGGGATGTCTCCCCCACGCGCTCCCCATGCCGTGTGCCTTTGCTGGGGGCGCGCGCCGACAGCCAAACTGCACATGGTCTCCCCATGTGCCTGTTTACACGGCTCCGTGTGTCTGTCCCTGTGTATTTGTGTCACTGCTCGGGTGCCACCGCGGCCCCCCCTCGCCTCCCTCACCCCCAGCTGTGGTGATTCCCACGCCTGTACGGCTACACCTAGAGCAGGAGGTGCATTGCTTTGCCATCCAGTGCCACCGATGTCACGATATTCAGGTGTTATATACAGGGTGCTGTCTGATGGATGACCTCAACCCTCCCTATCCACCTCACTTACCAGTGGAGGGCACAGTGGGGCTGGTGTGGGTCTCAGAGGGAGGGGTTGGCTATGGCCACAGGACCCAGCATAGCTCGAAGCCCAAAGCCCAGTGCTGAGATCTCCAAGGGTCCCTCGTGCTTTCCCACCCAAATCATAGAATCACAGAATGGCCTGAGTTGAAAAGGACCACAGTGCTCATCCAGTTCCAACCCCCTGCTACGTGCAGGGTCACCAACCAGCAGCCCAGGCTGCCCAGAGCCACATCCAGCCTGGCCTCAAATGCCTGCAGGGATGGGGCATCCACAGCCTCCTTGGCAAAGCTTGCCGATTTCCCTATCCTTGCCCCCATGGGTGTCCCTCAGCCCCTGCTGATGCTCCTGGCCTTATCCTCACCAGTCCCTCAGTGTTCCCGGCCCTGATGGCTGAGCTCCAAAGCCCTGTGCTGCTGTGACTGTGCCCGTCACACCAAGTGACAGCCAGCGGGGAAGTGTCAGTGTGACTTCACCCGGCAGAGCCTGCCTGCTTTATTTAGCAGCACCGCCTCGTTCCTCCCCCGGTGTGTCTCCAGCACACACACATCCTTCCAGGATCTACTCATGAGCTCCAAGGCCTTTTCCAGCCTTGCTGATCCCGTGCTTGCGCTTGGGGTCTTCAACATTTTCAGCTCTTTGCCATCCACTGCAAGGCTTACCTGGTGTCATCTGGGTGGTGCTGTAGCTCCAGGTGCCACCTGGATTCAGCTCATCCCTCGAAGGGCTGCAGCAGGTAATGGGGTGGTGCAGGATTTGGGTACAGCGTGGGGTTGCACTTGGCCTTGGAGTTGGAAGAGCGACGTCGTAGAAACATCACCTCGTGTCTGAGCACCTGGCTGGACAGCTAGCAAGGTAACAGCAGAGAGAAACATGGTGAAACAGAGAGAAAGCTCCATGAAATCTACATTGCTTCAAGAGCAGGCCACTGCATGTGACCCTGGCAAACCCTGCTCCCATCTGGAGAGCTTGCAGGTGAGAAGCTGGGGTCAGTTCTCCACTTACCTGGAAAGAAGAGCCGGGCTGACGTGTGTCTGCTGTGAGCAGATCTCATGGCAGAGGTATTCAAACCAGGTGCCAACGCCGAGGAGCGATCCTCTTAGATCCCACTGGCTGCTGCCTAGGGAGGACGTCTCGTCTCCCTCCCTTCTAATCCACGGAGATGTGTGATATAGCATAAGCTAATATAATAGGTCATGCGAGGATTTACATCTCATTACTGCAGGTTGGAGTCCTGAGAGGAAGGATGAGTCATTCCAACTGGAATATATTGCGGGGAGAAGCGGCGGTGAAAAGCAAATGGAAAAGCAGATGCCTGGAAGCTCCACAGTGGGCACAGTTATAACCAGGACCTGCAGCGTCCCTCTGAGTGCCACCTCCATAAGGACACCGAGCTCAGGGGCGCAGCAGAGCTGCCTGCCCTCTCTGGAGGTGAGGCTTCCCTGTGCCTTGCAGAAGGCAATGCCCTTTCCTTGGCCTTTTACTTCATCCCTACAAATGCCACCAACACCCCGGGCTGCCAGAGGCTGCAAAGGGCCATCTCATGGCTCTTGTCCTGGGGGCACATCCATGTCCAAGCCGCCGGGCTCCCCGACCTCCATCCATCACCTCCTTCCAAAAAGCACCGTGGAGCCTCCAGACAGCCGGGAATCGCGTGCTTGTTTTCACCTCACTGCTTTGTCCAAGCAGCTCAGCTCATCAAGAGCTGTTTCCTCTACGTTCCTCAGACAGGGAGGCTACGCAGCAGCCGACCCATCTAATCCAGCTGGAAAAATCGGTCCTGACTTCCAGTCTCTTGCTGTTAACCAAGGCGGGCTGCAGGCACGCTCCCAGTCCTGCGTCCAGGTGCTGCTCACCCAAGCAGGTGACACCCACAGGGCTGGATCCCGAGCCCTGCTTTCCCAAAAAGCAATCTGTGAGCACAGACCCGGAGATACAAGCTGGGGGGGGGGCTCACCCACAAAGGCCCATGCTCAAAGCAGAGGGACGGCCAAGTGGAACGCACCGAGATGATGCTGTTTGCCTTTTAAGACCTGGTGCTCCCTTGGGCAAAGGGGGGAGGGAGGAAATACCTCCCTCAACCCCCCCTCTCCCCCCCCCCGCTCACTTTGCTCCATCATTCCACAGCTGTTCCATCATTTTAATCTGCGGAGATTGTCTTTAAATTTCTGAAAATGAAATGATTTTCCTGCAAGCCGGGATTGGAGCCGGGCTACGCTGTGTATTTTCACGGGAGGAGAAGAGAAGAAAAGAAGGAGAAACGCACGCTAAAGCCAGGCTGGCCATCTGGAAGGGAGGCGCGTGGAAACGCCGTTAATTGCGCGCTGCCCCCGGGGCTGCGGCCAAAGGGAAGGCGGCAGTGGGAGCGGGATGGGAAGGGGATGCGGGGCCGTGCAATCGATGCCTGCGCCTTCCTCAGCTCCTGGGTTGCGGCCGAGGGATGCCAGGTTCGCTTGTCCAAGGCAGCGCTTGCAGGGAGAGGTGGCAGCTTGCATTAGAATTAATTAACATCATTAACAGCGCGCTTCGGGCCGCGCCAGCTCTTGCAGGCGAAGAGAGAGCGACAACTCGAGGGGTGCCAAATCCGGTTCTTTTCCTTCAGGAAAAAGAGGGGAAAAAAAAGAAGAAAAATAAAAAGGAAAATTAAGAAATAGAACAAGGATGAGCAAAAAGGTCTCCCGTGGGTTTGGTCCACCGGGGATCGGAGTGGGGCGGGGGGGGGGGGGAAGATATCAACCCCAGCCATTCCGATCCCCCTCCGGCTCCACACGACCCCGCCGTGAAGTTTCACCCCTTCCCTCCGCCCTCATCCCCCCAACAACACCGGGGGGGGGGGGGGGGGGGAGGCGGGGCGGCGCCGCCTCTTACCGGGGGGGTCCGAGGGGGTCCGGGCCGGGCGGTGCCGCCCCGCCGCGTTCACACGGAGCTGTCAGCGCCGCGGAGCTGCAGCGCCCGCCGCCCCCAGCGACCCCCGGGAGGAACGCCGGGCATCCCGGAGCGGAGAGCGGCCGGCGCTGAGCCCAGGCTGCCCGGTAAGGAGGGAGAGACTCGGGGCACCCCGGCACCGGGTATCCCCTCGGTCTCCCGACAGCACAACTCGCGCGGCTCCCTGCTAACTCGGCTCCTTTTCTCTCCACTCCAGGGTCCCCGCTTCCCCGAGCATCCCATCTCCCCGCTGCCTCCAATACCCGCGTTTCCTCGGTACCCCGACCATCCCATCTCCCCTCTGCCCCTCGTACCCACAGCTCCGGTTCCCTGAGCATCCCATCCCTCCGGTCCCCTCGATACCTGCATCTCCCCAGTTCCCTCAGCATCCCATTTCCCCGCTAACCCTGCTACTCGTAGCTCCTTGTTCCCTGGGCATCCCACCTTCCCGTTACTCACATCTCCCAGTTCCCTGAGCATCCCGTCTCTCTGCTACCCTCAATACTGGCATCTCTCAGTTCCCTGAGCATCCTATCTCCCCACTACCTCTGGTATCTGCATCTCCTGATTCCCTGAGCATCCCACCTCCCCGTTACCCACAGCTTCCAGTTCCCTGAGCATCCCATCTCTCCACTACCCTCGATACCCGCATCACTCCAGTGCTCTGAGCATTTTCTCTCCCCCGTCTCCAGTTCCTCGCACATCCTACCCCCCCAAACACCCCAACACCTTCATTTCCTCCATTCTCTGAGCATCCCATCTCCCCCCCGGTACCCACATTTCCCAGCACCTCGCACCCCGCAGCCATGGCGTTCATGGTGAAGAGCATGGTTGGGGGGCAGCTGAAGAACCTGACGGGTGGCTTGGGAGGCGAGGAGAAGAGCGAGGGTGAGAAGTCCCCAGCAGAGGCTCAAGGCATGACCCGGGAGGAGTATGAGGAGTATCAGCGGCAGCTGGTGGAGGAGAAGTGAGTGCTGGGGGCGGGGGGGAACGGGTTGGGATGAGGTCCTGGAGCTCTCCGTGCGTAGGGGAAAACAATGGTGGGGGTGGCAGGGCCAGGACGCTGTTTAATGAACCTCCCCCCCCCCCCCCCCCCCCCCCTTAATCCCTTAATCCGCTTCCTCGGGGATTTTTTTCTCCTTTCTGGCTGTGCAGAGGGGTTAAAAATAAATAAATAAAACAACAACGGGAGGGGGGGGGGGGGAATCGGGACTTTGTGGAGATGGGGAACACCTCGTTTGTGGGGGAGGGGGATGATGAGGCGGTGGGGTCACTCATAACTGCCCTGTGTGGTTCACAGGATGGAGCGAGACGCCCAGTTTGCCCAGCGCAAGGCAGAGAGGGCCACGGTCAGATCCCACTTCAGAGACAAGTATCGGCTCCCCAAGGTATGGCACAGGGAAAACGGGAGGAGAGATGGGAACCACCTCCCAGGGGGGTTGTGAGCCCCGAATCCCAAAGCATAACTCTGTTCCCCTAAAAAGCACCATTCCATCAGACCTTCCAGCCACCTCTGAGCACCACCAGCTCCACCATCCCAAAGAAGAGGACCCCAACGCTCACGCTCGTCCCCCAATTCCCCTCTTTTGCCCCCAACCCCATCTCCTTGAGGGACAGCCCCCCCTCCACTCCAGGCTGCCATCCCTGCAAGCTGTGAGCAGAGCGTGGCTCCTTCCCCCCTGGATTAGCCAGCTCCACAGATAATTTGGCAAACGCTTCCTAGATGGATCCCAATTTTGGAACTTCCGCCCCACTGGGAACAATTCAATCAGCGACAATTCAGCTCTTGGAGCTGCCACCAGCGTCCCCCCCCTCCCCAAAACACCCTCGGCATTCAGTGAGAGCCTTTCTGCAGCTCGCGGTGGTGAATGCTGTGAATTGGAGCCGGGCTAATTTTAGTTTGGAAAGGTCAGCTCAGCCAAGTGATATTGTTCTTATTGCTGGAGATTCTTGGTCCAGCCTGGATGAACGCCCCGCTGCTCCTTGCACCCATGTAACTGCCAGCAAACAGCAGCTGGAGGATCTGTCCTCTGCTGCCAAAAAAAGAAGAAAGGCAGAGAAAAAAGATGGAGATTTCCTCCGGGGGAAGTGGGGACTTGCTGAGCTACGGGCCCCCGATCCTTTTGCTGCTTCCTCGTGCTTGAGATGTCCCTTCCAATCTTTAGACAAGTTTCTTCTGCTCATTCCTGATCCTGCTTGGCAGTTGGTCTGCCTCTTGCAAGCTCTTCAGCGCAGAGCTGACCCCAATACGCTCGCCGGTGGGCACAGTCATTAGACATACGTGTAGCTTAATTGGGTGCCCAAATTGTGGATGGGAGCTGGAAGGCAATTTAGAGCCACGCTGGCTCAATCTGCTTTGCACATCGGCTCTTGCTTTGCTGCCCAGTGTGTGCCGAGCTCTGCTTGGCCACATTGCCTCCGGTCATTGAGGGATGGAGCTCATGGGCATCATCCCACCTGGGGATGCCAGGGACCGGCCCTCAAGACCTTGGGTCGGCTGCCAAAGCCCACGTAGGCACAGTGACGTCGATTTTGGATGCGGTCTCGCTGCCCTCATGTCCCACCACCCCTCGCTTTGACTTTCAGAACGAAACGGACGACAACCAGATCCAGCTGGTGGGAGGCGACGTGGAGCTGCCCAAGGAGCTGGCCAAGATGATCGAGCAGGACAACGAGGAGGAGGAAGAGAAGAACTCCGTCATCGGTCAGCTCAGCAACATCCAGAACCTGGACCTTGACTCCTTGAAGGACAAAGCCTCGGCCACGCTAGAGGACCTGAAGCAATCAGCCGAGAAATGCGCCGTGATGTGACCCGACCGCCGCGACGCCCTCAGCCTTGCAGCGGTGGGGACCCACCGATGTCCGTGTGAGCCGGGTCCTCCTTCTGAGCTGTGTTAAGCCCTGACCCAGATGTCCCCGCTCCATCCGTGCCGGTATCCCCGTGCGTGGTTTTGTTGTTGGGTTGCGGTCCGGTCTGAGGTTAGAGCAAAGGGATGGCTTGGAGTCCCTATCTCCCGGGCTGGGATCGGCTCCGTGTGGGAGAAGGGGCAGAAGGTGACCCCGTAAGGGAAAACGCTTCCTTCTCTGTCGTGATGTGGTCGTGTGCTGTGCTCAGTCGAGTGTTACACCTCCTATGCTGTCCCCGTGCCACGGCACCGTTATCGCCGCTGGAATAAATACCAGGAGATGTCTATGCATTCCTTCCTCCCGCAGTGCTCCCTCCAGCATTACAGGCGACGGCGTTTCAGTGCTGGGTGGTGGAAGCATCACGTTCAGAGCACCTTTGCTGACACTCATGCGGGCTTTGTGCTCAGCACGCCCAGGGAAAAAAAAAATAAACCAGCATTCCTCCCCAGCTGCAGAGAATTGCACTGGATGACCTTTAAGGTTCCTTTCCAACTTCAATGATTCCGTGCATCGGATGGGAAGCCCTTTCTTTGGGAAGATGCGTGGAGCCACTGTGCCATCGGTGTGATGGCCGGTGCACTGCCCCCATGCAAGAGCCCCAGATGAACAATGGTTAAAGCAGAGAAACAAATAAGTGCTACCCGGGGATGGGGGATCTCACTGCACGCTTGGGGTTTTTTGTTTTTCCTTTTTGGTTGTTATTTTTGCAGTTAATTAAACCTCCCCGCAGGACGCTGCTGGAAGGACAATCGGATTAAGGGGATCATGCAGCAGCACCCCACGTCTCTCTTTCCCTGCGTCTAAGAGGCTTTACGGGGAGCATCTTAAAACCTGGGAGGGGGGAAAAAAATAAAAATCCCACTGACCCACCTCCCCCCATCCCTTTCAACCCATAGCACCACAGGGGAGCACAGCATCACCTCCACGGCTGCAAGCCTCAATGTCAAAGAGAGCTGGTACAATGTGACCCTAAAGCATCCCGACACCAACCCTGGGGACGCAGCTCCAGATTGGGGCGCATCTCAGGCAGAGCGTGAAGGCATATGTGATCACTGGCTGCAAGGGCGGGAGGCTTGAAAGCTCTTTAAAGCCTCGGGATATTTAATCTCTGCTCAGAATAATGCGGCAAAAAAAATCCCATAAAAAGGTCTCTGCAAGAGGAGGTCACAGCCTGGGGCCCCGCTCTGCGTGGTGGCTTTGGGTGACACCGCTGCCACCACACACATCTGGATGGGGTGGCACCCACCCCCTCGGTCTCCCTAAAGACAGGTGGAGAAACCCCCAGATAGTATTTATTCCAGATGATAAATCACACCTCCTGAAATACAGCAGATTTGGAGAACAGCCCCCTGCTCCGCAGCGTCGGTGAGGGGCCCTGCTGGGGCCAGCCCCCAGGGATGAGGTTTGTGGTGCATGGTTGCCATCACAGAGCACAGCCTGCCAGCCCCGAGCGCTGCAGCACACGCAGAGCCAGACCCTTCCCTGGGGCCTGCAGGGACTTTTCCCTACACCTGATTTCCACTGGTGGGCTGAGAACTGGCCAGACCTCATGCCACCTCCGAGCCACCTCCTCTCCCCGTGCAAACGGCTTTAGCATCAGGCACACAGAACAAACGGCTTCCAACGTGCCGAAGCGCTGCCCCTCTCCCAGAAAAGCAAAACCCCGTGCCACAAACCACCAACCATCGGTGCCCTGCTTCTTTTTTTCCCCCCTCCCACCCCCCCTCTGCCTTTCCCCATGGGTCGGGGTGAGCTGCAGGCTGTGCACGCAAGAGCCGCGTGCCTGCACGAAGCAGCAGCAGCCGCCGCCGCCGCGCTGCCCAGCCAGCGGAGGGAATTGGAGTGGAATAACCTGCCCGCCGCGGGCACGCAGGCTGCTGCTGCAGCAGACGTTCCAGGCAGGGACTCCTCCTGACGGGAAAATTGCAGTCACGCTCAGCCCAGCCGTCTCCTCGGCCATCTGCAGCGCCGCGGCGCCAGCAGCATCCCGTTGAGCATCACTGCAAGGTGCAGGCTGTGGGGGGGAAAGGACAGAGGGGACGGTCAGGTCAGCTGGCCGGGAGGGCTCTGCAGGCACAGAGCTCGTAGATAAAAGGATGTGGGGACTCACAGCTCCGGACGGAGTCTGCCAGAGCCTCTTTGCCCATGGACTGCGCCTCCCGCATCTGCACGGGCAGAGAAACAGCCACCATCAGTACCGCAAGGCCACCACCATCAGCCCCCAAACACCAATGTTTCCTCCAGCCCTACCTTGATCTGATCCTTCAGGTACTCTGCCCGCGACATCAGGGTCTGGATCTGATGGACAGACACAGGGAGCTCCATCAGTGCGGTGTCCCCGTGGGGTTGGAGGGGTCGGGGCAGGTGCTGGGGCTCACCTCCGCATGCAGCAGCTCCCGTCTCCTCCCCGCTGGCTCTGCTGCAGGGTGCGGGCGTGGGGTCAGCAGGACATAGGACTCATCCCCTTGACCTCCCCCCTCCTTCCTAACTCACCAGCCAGGAGCAGCAGCAGCTCGCCCAGGCTCTGCTGGTACAGCTCCAGGGTATCATCGTCATCCTTGCCTTCCTCCTCCTGCAAGAGACCCTGGCTATCACCAGGAGAGACCAGGGTGGGCTCCATCCCCATGAGCATCTGGACCCCAAAATCCAGCACTCACCCTCGCCACGGCCACCGAGGCCATCTCCAGTGCAGCACAGAGCCGCGGCTTGTCCTTGGCCATCTCTGCAAGGAGACAGATGGGGAACACCTTCAGCCTGCTGGGCCACCCCATGGGCAGATCCCCACCACGCATGCTGGCTCGGCCCCATTGAACACCTTTGAGGATCTCCCTGGCCGGGTTTCCCTGCTGCAGGAGGTTCTTGCTTTTGGAAGCAACCAGCACCTTCAGCTCCTCCGCTCTGGAGATGTACTGCCCCACCTGTGGCAGTGGGGCTGGGTGAAGCACTGTGCCCTGGAGACACCCCAATGGATGGTCCCTCCCATCCCACACTCACCTTTGCCCGGATGGCTTCTTTGCGACGAGCGTCGCTTTCATCTGGGGACAAAAGGGGGTCCAACGTCAGGGTTGGGGGCAGCAGCACATCCTGGGGGTGCCACAATCCCATACCTGACCACATGAGCTCCATCCTCTGCCCCTTTCTATCCCTCCCCACAACCACTCAGGAACGCGGGGACTCACAGTGCAGAGCGGGCACAAAGTACTCCAGAGCTTTGCAGTAGAGACTGAGCGCAGCAGACGCGTCCCCCTCCTGATCCTTCTTCACCGCCTCCACCACCAGGTTGGTCTGGAGGTGATGAGGGCTCAGGACCAGGGTTTGGTCCCACCACATCCCATCGCCGTCCACCCCACCACTCACCGCCTTGCAGAAGCTCTCGGGGCCAGGCACGTGCTCCATGTCCACAAAGGGATGGGCGAAGAACTCCTCGAAGGAGATGCGCTTCAAGGGGTCCCTCTCCAAGAGGCGCTGCAGGAGATCTCGGCACTCCGGGGACAGCAGAGGCCTGCTGGGCAGCTGGGCAGGGACAGCGGTGGCACCGGGTGGCACAACCCAAAGGCCCGACCCCATGCCATCTCAACGTTACCTCGATGGCTCGGTCGCTGCGGATCTTCTCCTCCAGCTCGGCAAACGAGCGGGAGGCAAAGGGGGGTCGCCCAAAAAGTGCCTCTGCAAAGAGGAGAGCAGTGAGGGGGGTCACTTGGGGGAGCACCCTGTAGTCTTCTTGGTCCCACTGACATCAAGCCAAGGCTCCCATGGCTTTTCCCTCTGCCCTACGGTGGACAAACAGATATCAACATAGTGGACGTGACCAGGGTAGGCATCATGAACACAGTGGACACCGCCATGGCCAACATCACTATGGGAGAGGTTACCACCCAGCACCCATAGGGCTGGACTGCACCCACACCAGGACGGGGCCCTCCACAATAAGGTCTGTCCAGGTGCACGTGATCTCCTAAACACAACGGGGTTGGTCCCCACCTTTTTTGGGACACCGGGGTGCTAGGGGATATTAGGGTGCAGAGAGATGGGTGCACAGAAGAAGGACCCACCGTAAAGGATGACGCCCACTGACCACAGGTCCACCCTGGCGTCGTACTGCTGGCGGCACACCATCTCGGGGGCCATGTAGAGCGGGGAGCCTCGCAGCACGTGCTTCTCATCCCATGGTGACATGTACTGCGCGAAGCCGAAATCTATGGGGAAAGCACGGTGAGGGATAACCTACCACCGCCCCACAGCATCCTAGGGCAGGGGACCTGACCTGCCAGCTTCAGCTGAGGGTTCTCCGGGGTGCTGAGCAGGATGTTCTGAGGCTTGAGGTCCAGGTGGGAGATATTGTGATCGTGGAGGAACTTCAGGGCGCAGGCTAGAAAGATAAGCAGGGAGGTGGGATGCTGGCACCCACACCAAGAGTCCCAATGGTCCTCATCCCTCAAACCCACGTGGTTCTCACCGAGCTGCTGCAGGAAGATACGTGCCACCTTCTCAGGCAAGATCCTCCGCATACGGATGAAGCGGGAGAGGTCCCCACCGGCACAGAACTCCATGATCAGGTAGATGTGGTCACTGTCCCACTGCAAGGCGACCCCAGCTGGCCTCACTGCATCGCCCCAGACCCCAAAGGGCCACATGGGACCCTCAGACCCACAGGAAGCTCCAATCCTACGGGATGCCTCCAGCCCTATGGGAAGTTCCAGCCCTATGGGATGCCTCCAGCTCCATGGGAAGTTCCAGCCCTGTGGGATGCCTCCAGCTCCATGGGAAGTTCCAGCCCTATGGGATGCCTCCAGCCCCACGGGAAGCCCCCAGCATCATGGGATACCCCAACCTCACAGGGTACCCCAGTCCTATGGGATTCTCCAGTCCCACAGGATGCCTCCAATGCCATAGGAAGCTCCAGCCCTATGCAATGCCTTTTACCCCACGGGATCCCCCAGCCCCACGGGATGCCCCTAACCCCATGGGATGCCCCAGCCCCACGGGAAGCTCCAACCCTATGGGATGCCCCCAGCCTCATAGGGCACCCCAGCCCTATGGGAAGCTCCAATCCTACAGGATCCCCAGCCCCACGGGATGCCCCAAATCCCATGGGATCCCCCAAGTCCAAGGGATGCCCACAGCCCCACCTGGAAGTCCTTGAGCTCCACGATGTGTGGGTGCCGGATGGTCTTAAGGATCTCGATCTCAGTGAGCAGGTTCTCCACCGAGGCCCTGTTGAGGCTCCTCTTGCTCACACATTTGACAGCCACCACCTCGCGCGTGTCCCTCTGCCGGGAGACGAGCGGAGACCACCGTGGAGCGACCCCACACCCCACAAACCTCCGAGATTCCGCCCTCCCCAAGATCTCAAGGAGGGAGAGCCCGCAGGGTGCGAAGCTCCGTGCTCCCGCACCTTGCTGTACGCTTTGTACACCGTGGCGTAGGTGCCGGTGCCGAGGCGTTCGGTGAGCACGAAGCCGTCCAGGCGCGGAGGGGCGCATCCCCCCCCCCGGCCATGCCGCCCCGCCGCCCGGTTCCGGCTCCGGCTCCGTCCGCAGCTCCGCCCCGGCAGGAAGGGGCGGGTTTCGCTGCCCACGGTGCTTCTCAGCTGGGTAATTGGGATAAGGGGCAGGATGGTGGCGATAAAGGAGCTTGTATTTCCTTCTACCGGCGTCGCTTCGCTGCCCTTCGTTCTGCTCCGTGCGGTGAGAACCCACTCCCCCCTCCTCACCTCCAGCATGCGAGTAAAACAAAACCCCACCTGTCCATCTCCCAGCTCGCACTGATCCCTTCTCTCCTATTGTCCTGCAGGCAAGTTCCAGCCCTATGGAATCCCCCAACCCCATAGGAAGCCCTCAGCACCATGGCATACCGCAATCACTGGGGCACAGAGGCAAGTCTTCAAGGTGGGAATGATGAGCATTATAAATCCCCCTCCTCTAAACCCCCACCTGCTCCCAGGTTTTCCCTCCTGCCAACATCACTCAGGCTGCGGAGCACATAAAGAGGTCAAAATGCAGCATCGTGTTAAGTGTAGTAAACCAGAGGTACAGTTTTCCGCTCGTAAAATTAACAACAAACTACATGCAAGTTACAAAATCCATCCCCTCCCTCCCTCCACCCCCCCCCGGGAAAAAAAAAAACAAAAAAACAAACAGCAGGATGAAATCAAGTTGTTCATAGCACAGGCCGATAGAAAAGAAAGTAAAATCGAAATTCCTGCTTCTCACCTCCCTGCTACAAGACTGGGTGAGAGGAGGAAGAGACAAATGCTCTGTATGGCCTGGACAGAGATGGATATTTGCTTTGGAGAACATCTCCCCCTCTCCCCACGTCCTTGAGCAAAGCAGGGAAACTAACTGTCACAAACGGAGGCCAGCTGAAGCTAAAATGCAGATCTCTTCTCATTGGAGTCGGCATCACAGAGCTAACAATGGTACCCACGAAAAGTGCATCGTTAGAAAATGAAGGTTGGGGTGACAATGGAAGGGGAAGCGAGGCAGAGGCGGCCCTTGGGGAGGGCTAATTGCCCCGGAAAGCACTGTGTGCAGCTGAGGAGGCCGCCCCGGCCGCCACGTTCTGGAAGCTCCTGTTGGTGAGGATGCCTTGGGAAAACTCTTCCTGAGCCCTTTGGAAGCTGGCTCCCGTGCGCCGGTACAGGGAATGCACCTGGGAAACAGAGCAAGAGAAAAACCATCAGCCTGCAGGTGTAAGGAATGCACACAGAGCCTTCTGTCGCTCGCAGTTCTGGTGCGTGAGCTTGAGGTGTGTGTCTGAACAGGGCGAAGCTTGGGAGCTTGCTGGCCACCTCCTCTGCACTGTTAATGTCATGCCTTGCTGCAGCATCTGCTCCTCCTATCCATCCTGCTCCCCTTCCCAGAGTGGCTGCTTGCTCACCCCTCAGTCCAAGCAGTCCAGCGCTGACACAGAAAGCACCACCCGCACCATTTTGGGAGCGCTCTGACTTCAGGAAAACGCCGATCCCCAGCCCAAAAGATGAGAGGTGGCAACCCCACGAGCATATATCCCAGCCCCAGGGATTCTGCAGCTCCAAACCACTCACCTGCTTGAGGAGGAAGAGCGAGAGAACCGCACAGAGCGTGAAGAACCCTGCCACCACCATCATGATGATGGCCACAGCCACGTTCCCACGCAGCTCTGACAGCGCCGCAATCCAGCCACTGGAAGAGAGAGCGGGGTAAGCACGCTGTGTTACGGCTCTGTCCCCAGCACACCCCGCTTTCAGGCAGCAAGCAGGTGCTGTCAGAAATCACGACAGCCCAAACACCTCAAAACGTAGCTAGGTGACATCAGGAGAGGCCGGTGTGGCTGAGAACTGGATGGCAGATCTGGAGCCCAGAGCTACGTGTCGTGGTGACAGCTCTCCAAGTGACGGGAAGGGGAGAAAGAGGGGGGAATGAAGTGAAAGGCTGCAAAAAAAAGCTCTCCTGTGACAACTGGCAGCTCCTAAGACGACTCTGGGAGATCTCAGCGCTTGGCTGCGGGTCAAAACACCGAGCTGCCTCACTCGAAACATCCTCTTGCAGTGCTACAGGAAAGCAGCTCTCCAGCTGAGCAAGCCATGGGCCACCAGGAGGCTGGAGACCCAACAGGATGGTTTGGTTCACTCATGTGCTGTGCAACTCCTTGTGCATGAAAAGCAGAAATGCAACACGGTGCACTGCAGCTAAAAATAAATCTGCTGTCTGGCTCGAGGAGACAGAGCTGAAAGTTCAACGCATGCTCTCCAAAGCTGGCCTAAAAATGGAGTGCCCCCTCCCAGCTCCCCTTGATTAAGGGGTGGGGGGAGCACAAGGACAGCTCTGCCCATGAGCTGCTCTGCAGGCAGCGGGCAAAAATAGAGAGCACTTTCACTGCACTCATCTCCTGAAGGCTCTCCCTCGGGGGAAAACCACTGTTAACCTTTTCTCTGTTCCTCACAAGCACCACAGGAACGCGAGAATCTGATCCGCAGCGAGGTGAAAAGAAATGCAGTGCTTTTGTTGTGGGGAGGAGAGGGATAATGTGGGGGCTTGGACTAACAACAAGAAAGGGTGAGATTCCTCAGCCCCGTGCTACAGTCCCCAGAGAAGGGAGGAAGCCTTCCCTACAACGGGGAAGGCTCTGTTCAGAGACACCATCAGTGTAATCAAAGGGATGGGAAACGCTTAGGAAAAGAATTGCAGAGTAGGACTGGGAGATTCCACACTGTGGCAGCAGCAGAAGTGTGTGTGCCTTCACTGGGACTAAAAGAGGATAAGCAGAGGAGACAGACACACCAGCTGAGACCTGCCAACACTGTGTGCCAGGCAAGAGACACGGGAGAAGGAACAGACAGCTGTCAGCAAGAGAGCAGCACCGGGCCCCACAGCTCCTGACACCAGAGCAGGGCTGCACAGCACGCTCAGCTGAGCTTACCTGTCTCCCCAGCCAGGGATGCCAACAGCCTGGATGACGTAGATTGCTATTTGGCAGAAGAAGACGAAAAAGAAGACGAAGAAGCTGAAGGAGCTGTCAGACCTGCAGGAGAGACAGCAGCAGGAGTGAAACTCAAAGATATATAATTCCTGGACAGATTCCCTCCTCGGAGAAGAGGGAACATTTTCAGTGATGAACTTCCTGCTAAAGGAAGGTGGTTTCAGAAGGAACTTGTGCAGTGATAAGACTTCAAATGCATCCACTGCATACTGCAACACTGCCCAGGGAGATGGGGTGAAGACAGCTTCCTTAACAGGCACAGCACGCTCAGCAAATGACTGCACCAAACAGTTTTCTTAGGAAAATTAGGACCCTGTGTTAGCTAGGCCTACACTTCACAATAAAAAAGGATCACTATAATCAAGTTCCATCAGATATTCCTATTATATTTAGGCACAAGTGGGTTTGATCTGTTCAAGAGCGCAAAGAGCTGGAAAAATCCTGCAGGCAATATTGTATTGGAACAGATCAAACCAAAGCTCCTCCCACTACAAGCTCTATTCCCCATCACAGTGGAAAACAGTACTTGCCTGAAAGCCTTGTAGATCGGTCGGTACCAGCAGAGAAAGGCACAAGGGGTGAATAAAACAAACCACAGGATCGAGAGACCGAAGTCTACTCCTTTTTCTGAGTGAACCGTGAACCACGCCAAGCAAGCGAGCAGATTTAGGAGCAGAGTAACCGAATGCACTGCTCAGGATGGAAGAGAGAAGAAGCATCAGTCAATTCCCAGGAAACTCAAATCTCCTCAAGCATCTCTCGCTGGACACGTGAAGCTCTGCAAAAGTTCCTTTGGGCCATTTCATTTCCTTTCTTTCACTGGAAGGGAAACGGGGCTCAACCTCAGCACCTCATCTGACCCTGCTGCTTGCAAACCATTCTGAAATGTTTGCAGAGCATCACAGCTGATCACAAACGCAGCTGAGAGGGTTTTGCACCCGATCCCAAAAGTGCACTACCCAGCCACCACCTTCCTGAGCCTCACACTGTGAAGTCTCTGGTAAACAACCACCAAAACTCTGTGACAAATGAGCTACTCCCAAAGCAAAAACCCGACCTGCTGACCTTGACATGTCTTCACAGACAAGGAAGAGAGGCATTATTTCCCCTGTACAGACAACACCTGCAGCATTCAGTGCAGAGCAAAGTTCAGCACTTGATTCAGAATCTCCATAGGAAGAATTTTTATGGCAGTTCAGTCGTTACTCACGCATCCACAGGTAATAAAGCATCTTGCATATCCGCTGGTAGTCAGCTGGGATGTCTGCAGAGAAATCCTGATAAAAGCACGGCTTGATTGGACACTTCCTGGGAAGGGGTGGCCAGTTGTTCTGCCTTGCTGTGGAAGGGACAAAAGAACAGTTCTTTGCTTGCTCTTCTCTGGTCAGAAGAGCCATTGGCACGCCTTGTTTGTAAGCTGCACTCATATCTACTGACATCAACAGCCTGGGGAAGGCTGGGTCTCAGTGAGTTTGAGCAGGGGTGCATTAACCTGTGAAATAGAGCAACCTAGAGTTGAAAGCTTTCCTCTGTGGGAGGCAGAGTTTCTGCGTGAAGGCCAAAAAACCATCATGAGCATTTGGGACTACGAGTCCAGGCTCAATCATTCAGGGTTAGGGGAAAATACTGTTTGGCTCTGATTAAGAAACCATCGAGACTGATAAAAAGCCAGAGCTGGACTCCAGTAGCTCATCTCAGAGCTCATTTCCTGCCCAGCCCTTCAGTAGACAGTTACACTACAAGCCACAGAGGGACAGGTGCAGCCCCTGAGGGCTGCCACAGCCATGAAAAGCTAGAGACAAAGAGAGGCATTCCTTTGAACAGGCCAAAGCCACTTCTACCAGCAACCAAGCTGATAAACCAAGCAGCACGGGCATCCCCAGGCACCACGTAGCTGCAGGCAAGGCAGGAAGTACTACTCACGATTAATGCTGGCTGCATTGTTCTGCAATTCCCTTTCCTTCTTCTCCAGCTCAGCTGCCTTCCTCTCTAGTTCTGCCTGCTGCTGAAGCAGCCCGGCCTGTGCTGCTGCAGCCACAGCCTAAAGAAGGTGGAATGAAAGTAAGTCCTTCAGCCCTTCCCCACCCAAGACAGTGGCAATGCCAACTGCCAGCACATCAGATGCCAAACTGGAAGGGAAATGCAAATTCAATAGCAAAGGAGGACAAGTTTGAAAACTGAGTGCCTGTGGAACATCCCGAGGCTGGCTTCCTGCCTTAAATGCTGGAGGACTAGATTAAAACCGATACAGGACTCAGTCCAGGGGTTCCCCTCAGTTCCACTCCTAACCTACTGGAAAATAGGGTAGGAGGAGTCCTCAAGAGGCTCCATTCCATCTCCTTTCAGCAAAGCTATGCTTTCCCTGCAGCTGCTTCTACTTTCCAGCTAGCTTTGTTGCTCTGAGTGCTATCCAATACCTCACCTGCAAGGCACACATACCTCCTCACCCTCTTATCAGTGCCTGTAAGGCAGCAGATCCCCCTGCCTATGGGCTCCCATCAAAGCCTTGCCTCGATCTCCTTTCATTACAAGCTGATTTTTTGGTCTAACAGGGACTTTCCCAGATACAACTTTTGCAGGCTTCAGACCCACTCTTATCTCTTCCATCCCTCAAAGATGGGGTGGCTCCCCAGGAGACCCTCTGACCTCACTGTGCACAGCTGAACAACATCCAGTGGCATTATTCTGCCCCAGCAGAGCTACCCCCACGTCTCCAACTCACAAAGGAGCTCCTTCTCCCATACCTGTGGGGTGGGCTCCACTGATGTCTGCAGAACAGCAGGCTGTGAGTGGCCAGAGGGCTGCGTGGCCGGCGCCGTCCTCGCTGCATTTGTCTGGAAGCAAAGAGCAAGAAGGGAACAGTGTCACAAACTGCTTCCTTAAGCAAAGCACAGCTCAGACTTGAGCATTGCTACGACAAACGGGAGGCAATTCTATGCTCTCAAAAAATGTGTTCCATCCTCGACACCCCGGGGATGTGGCACCCAAGGATTATGGGCATCGGGCAAAAGAGAAAGCAGGTGGGGTTCTGAGCAGCTGTTTAAATCACAAGTATTATTTTTATCCCTGTTTCCTGCTCTCCTTTTCCCCACCTCGGCGACCAGAAAACAAGACTGAAGCTCTTGCAGTGATCCATTGGTGCTAGCAAGTATTTGGTGCTAGCAAGCTCAGCTCCCAATGCAGAGCCCAAATAAATACTGATGATGCCACAACACATCTTCCTCTTCACACAGCTTTACTGGGAGAAACAGTTCCAGAGGAACACAGAGCTCCAGCAAGGAGTTTCAGTGCTCTCTGGCTTGCAGCCTGCCACACACACAACACCCATGGGGAAATCAGCTGTGAATGCCTCTTGTTTTTTTTCCCCCCCCCCTTCATTTAAGCTGCACCCACCAAGGGACCCTTTAGACTGCTGAAACCAAGGCCAAGACACCCAGTGCAAACACACACGTACCAGCTGGGAGCTCTCAGAAAAGGGGTTGAATTCATCCAAGCCGCTCTGGCTGGCATTTGTGAGCTGTGTCACCGAGGGATCCTGAAGGAAGCAAGCAAAGCCAAATGAGCATCAGGCACAAGGCTCCACGAACTCAAACGCCACCCGCTCTGCCCACCTCCCAGCCCTCTGCTCGCTGGGAACAGGACTGCTGGGTGATGTTCGTGGCCTGCGATGCCTTTAGTGGGGTGAGGACAGACACTGGCTTGCTGGGATGAGTACTGAATCCAGAAGACAGCATCCCTGCGGGCAGCCTGCCTGACTCAGCAGCTGGGTGAGCCGAGGACACCAGCCCAGAACATTTCTGGTCCTCCAGCTCTCCCAGCTGGAGGCAGCTCACACGGTTCTGTGACAGTGCTGTCCCTTGGGGCACACACAGATATACGCTCCTATGTAGGCAGGAAGCAAATCTGAAGAACTACAACATTTTTATTTGTACTCAGAGCAGTTCCTACTTGAAAGCACCTCCCTCTCCTCATCTGCAAAGCACGCAGCATTTTATGTACGTTGATTTCCGCAAACAGATTATTTTTAATAGACAGATTTTGACCTCAGCAGCAACTCCAATCACCGATAATTACGGAAGTGAGGCCCTTTGTGAGCTCAGGAATCCAGCTGCCTGGTTGAACAGCCTGTCAATATGGGTGTAGCCAAAGAAAACTAAAAGAAGCCATTTTTTATTCCTCCTTCCGCCAACGGCTCACATCTTGAGCTCAGGCAATTCCGTGGTTAACGGGGCAAGAAGCATTCGAGGCTGAGACTGAGCAAGAGTGAACAATTCCAGCGTGCAGAGGCCAACTGAGCCCACATGTTGTGGAAAAGCCCTTAGGTTCTTTTCAGCACAGAGGTCCCCTGGGCTTTAAGTGTTGCCTCCTACCACGTGAGAGGTGCAGAGGGTGGTTAATGAGTAATGCTGCACCTCCCCTCGCTGCTGGGCACACTGCTTAGCACACCATAACTTCTCTGTGCCCACACTGTAGCTTCAGTTGAGGGCAGGCAAGGCTGAGCCCAGCTGACATCCACCAGGCTGCAGGAGGAAAAGAAACCTTCATAAAAGCGCAGGAATAAGAAAGGAAAAGCTGCACACCATTGGAAGAGAATCATTAAACTGAAGGAAAAGCAACAGGGAATGAGGAGATGCGCTGGGACAACGAGGCACATGTTTTTTCTTTCCATCCCTTGCTTCCAGAGGGAAGGGAAGCCCTGCAGTTAATTTGACAGTGGCACTGCTATCAGAAAGGCCAGGAGAACAGCACTGTTCCCAGTAACACCAACAGGAAGAATGCTCCCACCACTCCACTTAGCCACAGCTTGATATTAAATGATCTCATCTTCCAGCACGGCTTTAAATTAAGTACTTAATTAGCTTAACTGCCTGCCACTACACAAGTGTGCCTAAATGACACACAAAAAGCAGAGCCCTTGCAGTGTTTGGACACACATCGGTGTGCCCTGAGCGGTGCAGCTCCTACAAACCATATTTGTAGGAGATATCACAGGTCATTTCCACCAGCTGCAAACTCACACGCAGCTGGTCCTCTGGAAATGAACTCAAGGTTGATCCTTCGTGCTGCAAAACACAGAAAATGTGGCTCCATTTGATCACTGAGATGCTTTGCAGGCTGCTACCCATGCAGCAAGGCACCTGGCTGTCCTCCTTTAGGGAAGCAGCCATGCTCTTCTCAGCTCTGGACGTCACGCTCTTTTCCTTCCTGATGAGTAATTGCTTGTTGGACTCCTGCAAATCTCCTCAAGCTGTTTCCTGTTCCAGAGCCCAGGGGAAGCCTGTAACCCGAAGGCACTCACCCAGCTGGGCTGAGCCTGCCTCAGGGACATGCTGTCAGTTATAGGAGCGACCTACAGTGCCAGCAGATCCCCCGCTGCCCCTCTCACCACAGCCCTCACTATCTGTATAGACACATGGTGCCGACTGTCATCATTTCAGGTTCCCAAGCGTGGAATAATTCTCCATTTGAAATGAATTGTGTTAATAGGAAAGCTTAGAAGAATCACAGAATCGTTCTGAGCTGGAAGGGACCCTTAAAGGCCATCTGGTGCAACTCCCCCACAACGACCAGGGACACCCACAGCACAGTGAGGTGCTCAGGCCCAGCCCGATTCCTAAAATTCTGTCTTGACACAGAACTGCTGTAGCAAGGTGCATGCTGTAGTACTTCAAGACAACAACCGGTGCTAGGAAGGATGCTCCTCTGCTTCCTTCCATTCTCACAGAACAAGGGAATGCAAAGACTGAGCACAAGGTGAGAGAGCTCACCAAGAACACCACAGGGTTGCTGAAATAACACAACAATTGCCCAAAGAAGAGCCCACTGCGCCATTCCTGGTTCCACAAAGACCCACTCAAACCCAACCCTGTGTCTGAAAGGTGCCCAAGCGCTGCTCGAGCTCTGTGCTGAGAGTCAGACAAACCCCAAACGGCTGCAGCAGAGGCTCCCGCTGGGCCGTAGTGACCCCAGGGAAAGGCCGTGCCACCCCCTCCTCCGCCAGTAACAACAAGAAGTTCTCAGCCCTCACAGCCCCCGGAAAGGCCGAGGCCCGGAGCGAGGCAGGTCCCGGGTCCCAAATAGCGCCGGACCCCACGAGCGCGGCCCCGGGGGGCGCCGGACACTGCCGCGATGCGCACCCCCCCCCGGTCCCGCCCCCCCGCTCCGATTGGCTGCGGCCGGGGGGAGCAGCGCCGCCATTGGACGGCGCGGTTTCACTCAGCGCCACGTCTCGCCGGCCGCGAGGGGAGGGGAGGGGAGCGGAGCGGGGAGGAAGAGAAGGAAAAGGAGAGCGGGCCCGGAGCGCACCTGGAAAGGGTTCACGTCCACCGGATCGGCGAACGGGTTGGTGTCGAAACTCGACATGTAGACGGTGCCGGCCGAGCGTCGCCGCTCCGCTCCGCGCTGCCGCCCTCCGCTGTTTCTCCACCGCTTCCGGGAACGCCAGCGCGCCTGCGCCGAGCGCCACGTGACCTCAACGTGCGTCGACTGTGTGTGACGTCACGACGCCACGAGAGGGGGCGGGGCGTGCTGTGAGCGGCCCAGCGGGCGGCGCTCCTGGGGGACGCGTCGGCAGCGCACATGGCGGAGCCGCGAGGTGAGCGCCGGGCGGGGCGTTCCGGGGGGGTGGACATGCGTGGCGGCAGCGGCGGTGACAGCCGTCCTCCCTGTCCCGCAGTGTTCCCGTTGCGTTGCCCGGTGAGGAACTATGCCTGGGGGCAGCACGGGCTGCGTAGCGCCGTGGCACAGCTGGTGGCCAGCGGGGACCCGGCGGCAAGCATCGAGCCCGAGCGGCCATACGCCGAGGTGAGGCCGTCCCGCCGTCCCCGTGTCCCGCCGTCCCCGTGTCCTGCCGTTCCTCCGCGGCTGACCGGGCCGTAACGCTGTCCCCCAGCTATGGATGGGCGCCCATCCCAGCGGTGATGCCGAGGTGTTGGATGGCCGTGACCTTCCGCAGACGTTGGGTTCCTGGCTGGCCGAGCACCCTGCCTGCCTGGGCCCCAAGGTGTGCGATGCCTTTGGCGGCCGCCTGCCCTTCCTTTTCAAGGTGCTGTCCGTCCGCACCGCCCTCTCCATCCAGGCTCACCCCAACAAGGTAAGCGTGCCCCAACTTGTATCCACGGTGACGCCGCCACCACCCAGCCGTGGGGACATCCCTGTGTCACCCCTAGGAGCTGGCAGCCAAGCTGCACGCCCAGTTCCCCCAGCACTACCCCGATACCAACCACAAACCCGAGATGGCCATCGCGCTCACTCCCTTTGAGGGGCTGTGTGGCTTCCGGCCCGTGGAGGAGATCGCTGCCTTCCTGCGGGGTAAGCCCTGCTGGGTGGAGAGGAGGGATGCAGGGTGCCCATCCCGGTGGCCTCGCAGTGCCTGATTGGCCCCCATCATAGCTGTCCCCGAGCTGCGGGCGCTGGTGGGTGAGGTGGCAGCTGAGCAGTTGGAGCGCAGCGCCAGCCATGATCCCCGCGGCGTCTCGGCCGCCCTGCGTGTCTGCTTCACCTGCCTGATGAAGAGCGAGAAGGAGACCTTCAGCCAGCAGCTCAGCCTGCTGGTGGAGAGGATTTCCCAACAAGGTGGGCAAAATTCCCACCTGCAGGATGGTGGAACCCCGATCTGTGGGGAGGATCCAAGCTCCATTTGGGTGGGCTCCCACTAACCCCAGCTGTGCTCCTCTTGCAGCGGCCAAAGGGCAGGACACGTCCCCAAGCAATGGGGACCTGCTGCTGCGCCTGCACGCTCAGTTCCCCGGGGATATTGGCTGCTTCTCCATCTACTTCCTCAACGTGGTGAGGCTGGAGCCCGGCGAGGCCATGTTCCTGGCAGCCAATGAGCCCCACGCCTACCTGCAGGGAGGTGAGCTCAGGGATGGGCACACGGCACAGGGTCCATTGCACCAGTGTGCAGTGACATCCCTTCCCCACAGACTGTGTGGAGTGCATGGCGTGCTCAGACAACACGGTGCGTGCTGGCCTCACCCCCAAATTCATTGATGTGCTCACGCTCTGTGAGATGCTCAACTACACGCCAGCACCCAGCAGCTCCAAGATCTTCCCAGCTGTGCAGAGCCCTCTGGACCCATGCGTCTTCATCTATGATCCACCCGTGCCTGACTTCACGCTGATGAGGATAGAGGTGAGCTGGGTGTGTTTTTAGGGTCCTCAGAGCTGCTCCCGCAGGGCAGGGAAACCCCAAAGCTGCTCAGCTGATCCCATGGTACCCCAGTTCTAGGTTTTCTTCCTGAATGAGTTTTGGCTGTTGGGAACATCAGCTTTCCCACTTCCTGACCGTGCTCTTTGCAGGATGTAGGATGGGTTGGGTTGGCTTAGAAGGACTTTAAAGACCATCTCAAGCCAATCCTCTGCCCCTTCACTAGCCCAGGTTCCCAGCGCCCCACCCAGAATGGCTCTGAGCACCTCCAGGGATCCTATCCCCAATTTCTCTGGACGCCCTGATGTTGCCTAAACTTGGGGTTTCTCAGTGTGGGTTTGCTGGAGGATGGCGACCAGCCCCTCTCCATCCCATATTCTTCCTGAGGTTTGCTCAGCTTCTTGAGCAGCTTTGGGTGTAGGGACAGCGAGGAAGGAGTCTTGGGTCTGCAGAAAGAGTGGGGAAGGGGAATGAGTGCCTTTAGTCCCAGAGAGAAGGAAAGCTGCAGGAGATCCGCACTGTTCTGTTGCAGATTCCCTCCTCAATCAAGCTCTACCTCATCTCTGCACTGGACTCTGCCAGTATCCTGCTGGTGATCCAGGGTACGGCCATGGGCACCTCTACAGCTGCTGCATCTGAAATGACCCTGCGCCGGGGCTCCGTGATCTTCATCTCTGCCAACGAGAGCATCTCCATGCACCTGTCCTCATCTGAGGGGATGCTGCTTTTCCGAGCCTGCTGCCTGCTCTGAGCAGGATCCCCAGCATCCCCGCACACCAGGGTAGATAGAAACCAAAGTAGGCTTGGCCAGTAGCTCAGAAGTCACCCCAGAAGTGAACCTCAAAGCAACCTGCATCCAGTTTCTAGAAGCAACTCACACTCCTCTGCTTTCTGAACCAGCTCTTTGGGGCTGAGACACTCGTGTCCCCATAGTGTCACAGCCCCCAGGGCCAGTCCTTACCAGTGCTGCTAACACCATCTGACAATTATTTATGTTTCGTTTGGTGTTGTGGCTTTGTTGGGTTCTTCTAGGAACCGCTGCTTACACCTGCAAATGTGATGCTGAGGCTTCCACCAGGAGGAAGGAGACTTGGGATCAGCTGGGTGCTGGATGCCCCCTTGTCCACCTGCCCATGGAGTGGCTTCATGTGGCAGTGGGGTCTGGAGGTCCTCAAGTGACCGGTGCTCTGAATAAAGTGGTGACTTTGTCCTCAGCCTTTTGTGTGGAGCTGGAGGAGGCAGCACATCCACTGCTGGCTCCCCCAGCCCCAAATGGGTGCTCCAGGGGGGATGTGGTGATGAGGGAGGTGGCGGGGCTGATGGACACCAGCATCCATAGGGAAACAGGATGGATCTGGGAAGGGAGCAGTAAGACACGCTTTGAGTAACAAGATCCAGTTTACTGAGTGCTTTCTCCAACAAGGAGTATACAAAAAAGTCTCAATTATTTAGACAAAGATTATTTAAATAAGGTTTGTTTTTAAGAAGCTGATTGTCCTCTACAATACAGCAGGACCATGATTTAAGGCAGCTTATAAAACCTGCACCAGGCAGAACTTTCCTGCCGCGAATCCATGCCCAAATGGGCTGAGCTGCACTGATGACTAAGAAGGGCCCCCAAGGGGGGAACACATCATAAATAAAACACAGAGGCCATTGGCCCCTTTTTGTATCTAACAAGAAAGAAAAACACATCTATCCCAAGAAAAAGCAAGCAGCCCTTTGGGCACCTACCTGCCCTGCACAGCTGGCAGCATGAGAAAGATGCACAGACAAAAAGAAGAATGTAACGATGCCGAGGTTGGGGAGCTGCTCCAAATTTGACCTTTTTTGCATAATGAACAGATTCAGGAGGGCCGTGTCAAGCAGTGTCCTTGTAGAAGTGGGCTCATGGTCTTAGGGCACTCTGGGTATGTAGTGTCTGAGCTGTTCAAGGCTGAAGAATGGGACTGGTGTGAGTCCCCTCCTTACCCTGGTGACAAATGACACCCGTGTGGCCATATGTCACTGAGCCACCCCTGTGATACTGCTCTGTACAAGAAGTGGTTTGGGACTGGCTGGTTGCTGTAACGTAGTAATGAGTTCTTGGGATGCCACCAAGCATCCCAGGAGACATGGAACGTGGTGGCTTTTGAGATGTCCCAACATGAGCAGCACCTACTGGACCACACAGGAGAGAGAATCCCCAAAGCAGCATGGGCAAGAGGAGGTGGTGGGTTTGGGGGGGGATGAGGTCCAGGTCCTCGTCATCTGGGACCTCATCCAGGTGGTACCCATCCTGCAGGAGCTGCCGGCTCAGGTCCTGGTTCACCTGCTGGAAGGGAGAGAGAAGATGGGGCTGATTAATGCTCCCTGTTAATGCCACTGGTGTTCTGGTTAATGCTGCGGTGGGTGCGACAGCAGGGGACAGACCAGCAGGCTTTAGTTAACCTCAAGAACAAGCAGCAGCTTGTTCTAACTGTGATTAGAAATGAAGGCAAAGAGCTGAGCCCTGAGGGGAAAATGGGGTAGGGGACTCCAACAGGAACTGCATGAAGGGCTGGGAGCCAAACCTGGACTTGCCTCGGCGGAGGAGTAGCCAGAGGAGCCCCTCGATTCCAGCTCCCCGTCACTAGGATGAAAAGATGGTGTCAGAGTGAGTGCTGCAAGCTCCCTCAGCAGCCAGACAAGAGAACCTCCGAAAAGGCCCAAGAGAATTGAGGAGTTTACTTGGGTAAATTACTTTTACTAAATTTGGATCAGAGGTGTTTTGCTGCTAGGAGGTGCCCAGCCCAACCATGGATGCACCTTTATTCTCTCCAAGCAGCAAGGCAAAACTCCAGAACAGTGAGGTTTACAGGCTAATCCTCTGCAAATCCCACCCCGGGGCATTCATCCAGCATGCCGACCCTCTAAAAACACCCACCTGGAATGAGCATGGGATGCTCACCTGTCTGAGTCCAGGGACACCAGGCTTTCATCTGCTGCCTGGCTGAGTGCCACGTAGCCCTTGTGAAACTTCACTGACCTGCAAGCGCATGGGGACACGGCTGCAAGGTGATGGGCAGCAGCAGGAATCCCCAGCACATGGCATGTCCTATCCTTGCAGCAACCCCACAGCACACCCATCCTCACAGCACCACCATCTTCAACTCTGCAGCATCCCCAACCACTCAGCATTCCTATCTTCACAGCATCCCCATCCCCATCCCTGCAGCATCCCCAACCTTGCATCATTCCCATCCTCACAGCATCCCCAACCCCAGCCTTGCACCATCTCCATTCTAACCCTTACCTTCATCCTTGCAGCATCCTCAACCCCATCCCCACGGCACTCCTCCCTGGCCCACTCCCAAAGCACTCCCACACACAGATAAACGTTTCCACGTTTACGTTACTGAAGGGCTCTGACCTTTTGCCTGTCGGTTTGGCTGGGGGCCTACCGGGCCCTCCCAGCAGCCCGTGCCGCCGCAGTGCCGCCCTGGCCAGCTCCCGCTGCCTCTCTGCAACCGAGGGGAGGGTGAGGGCCGAGAGTCCCATTGGGGCGTCAACTCCTCACACGAGGCCCCATTGGGGCTCACACTTACGCAGCGCGGCGGGGGCCCGGCTGAGGGTGTAGGGCCCGCTCCTCGTGGCCCCTCCGCCTCGCTGGCCCGCCCTCCTGTCACTGCGAGGTGACTGCGGAGGGAAAGCAGCTCAGTGAGCCCCGCGCCGCAGCTCCACAGCCGGCCCTGCGACCACACCCCGACTGCAGGGCCCGTGCAGCCCCAGCTGGCCCCGCTCCTCCAGCCCCACGACATCTCCATCCAGCCCCCCTGCCCCAAATTGCCCCACCACACCCCCAAGCCCGGCCCCTCACCGCCTCTCCCCGCCCCCCGCCCGCTCGGCCCGCAGCGCCCACAGCCCCGGGCCCGCCGCCGCAGCCCGTCGCCATGGCCGCGCGTCGCCCCGCCCCTCCACCAATGGCAGCGAGCGGAGAAGAGAGCAACCAATGAGGAGCAGGAAGGGGGCTCGTCCTGCCCTGCGCATGCGGGGTAATGAGACACTGTGCGCAGGCAAAACGCTCCGGGCTGCTGGTGTGACCGCGCTCAATAGGGCCGGGGTACGTAGTGCCCTAGGCAGCCTCCTGCGTTCCTTTATACACGCATATACGTAATTATACATACGTAAGTTCTATATTTTTTTTTCTGTGTGTCCTAGGCAGCCTCCTGCATTCTATCATATATAAATTATATACATATAATTTATAATTAATTGCCCTAAAACCAGGAGAATTTTCCTCCAATCTTGGCAGGGAATGATCCCTATTTGTTCCCATCCCCACAAAGTGACAACACAAGGCACTGCCTCAGTTCAACTAGGTTTTCCTTTATTAAGTCCAACTCCACATCACATACATTGCAATTCAATAAAGTTATTTGAAATAAGGTGATACTTGAACTTTTCTGACTTGAGGCGACTGTATACAATCGGGCAGCACTGGCAGAACGCTCCAGTAATACACCTGGAATAGAAGAGCAGAAAACCTATTAAAGCAGCACTCCACAATTCCCACAGTGGCTATCTCCTGAGCCAACAAACTGCCTTATTATATGTCCATTCAACGAGAAGTTTTATTTGGGCTTTACTTCAGCCCAGGTCTTTCTGCTTAGATCATGGTCAAGCTTCAATCAAATCCCATCCTTTACAGAATTTTATTTACTCACACGAGTATTTCATCTAGGGATCTGTGGAGAACAGATTTTTGACACAAAGGCATACCTATTTCATACATATTTTAGTGTCACTAAAGTAATATTTCCTTTGTGGTCAAGTCTGGCAGGGGCAAGTGCTGCAAGTGAAGTGAGAGAATCTCTTACCAACAAGGTTTATGCTTTGTCCAGGCCCAGTTCCTCTGGAGTGGAGATTCCTAGTTCACTCAAAGTTGGTCTAAGCTCCTGGATAACATAGGGATAGATTTCCTTGTGCGGGCCTGCCTTGTCCTAAAAGGGAAAGAATGATGTTAACCAGAGAGCAAGTCGTTGTGAAGTCCACCGTGCATAAGACATTTTCACAAAGCGGTCTGTGGCCCGAACCACCATTTGCAATACACAAAGCTACAAGCCTTGCCAAGCTCCTAAAACAAGGGATGGTTTGTAAACCAGCCCACAGACAGCTTCCAAGCAGGAAACAGATTGGAATCATCATGCAGTCTGTGCCTCCAGTCTTGCAGAGCACTGTTGTTTGAAACAAGTGGATTTGGTAGCTAGCAGCAGAGTCCTCTGGGACTGTCCCTGTGCAGAGCACAGCTACTGGCTTCTAAGGCAATGAAAAAGACCTCTGCCTCCATCCCCACCCATTCCCACTTCCTGTTAAGGAGTTAAGCCAACCTGGGCTCAGGTTTCAAGGGGTTGGTTTATATTGTTTTTCTAATGCAACTTCCTGAGTCGGTAATCCCAGCCAGCTCAGCATTTAGGACTGCATGAAGGCAGTATTTACCTTTGCTGAGATACATCCATACTTATTAAAAGGAAAAGAAGAAAAAAAAAAAAGCCCCTAAAGACTTTCCCACTAAGGTCAGCATCAGAAAATGAAAATGCAGAAGTAAGAACGTCACACTTGTGAATGGATGCTGTTACTTTCACCTCCAAGCCACTATTTCAAACCGCCGAGCACGCGATCGCAGCGACCCTACTGGTTTTGTTAGAACAGTAGGCTTCCCTTTGTGTCACTAACACGAAGCCAACAGAATCTCCTGCTGCTGGGCTCTTGGTGATGTTGAGCAGCAGCCAGAGCCCAAGGCACCATCCCACTCACCTTCACCACCTCCAGGATGCGGACTGCGCTGGCAAAGTCATTTAACCGTCTGCACGCCCTCAGAGCTGCATCAATGATTTTTGGTTCCGGAACCAAGTCATAACCCACGAGCGTGTTTACACCTGTGGATACAAGGGAACAGCAGGAGCAACTTGGCATCGACTCACCATGCTGTCAAAAGGAAGCCACTAAGCATTATTTTGCTTTGTGAAAGAATTATTAACATGGCAGCAATCAGCAGCATCATGCAATTACAACTTCCATTGCTGTTTTGAACCCCTCCACCCCCAGGGGCTTTCTTTTTTTTTCTCCTTCCCTTTCACAACTAGAGCCACTGCCATCTCTTAAACAGGCTTGATGAAATCCCAGTGGGCCAGGATCATCCATGCTCTCAAAAAAAGTGTATACACTGTGGCAAGTGAGCCATGCAATCATTAAG